CGGGGTGCAGGCCGTGGTTCGGGGTGTCCTGGAGGGCACAGACGGTGAGTGGGGGGCTCTGGGCCCCAGCATCACACATTCAGAGGTGTCTGGAGACAGTTCACCCCAGAAGAGCAGAGCCACAGAGCTGAGTGTAAGGGCTGGCTTGTGCCAGGCTGAGGTGACGTGGTGACATACAGACACTGCCTCTGACTGCACTGAGCTCCCAAACTGCTCTGATTTGGGATACACATGTGTTAGAGGGCCACGCTGGAAGGCTCCAAGCCTGTTTGTGCCTCGATGGGGTCACACAGTGTGTGTGTCCAGATCAGTCCTGGGGAGTGCCCTGTCCCAGTGCCAGTGTGGTGGGAGCTGTGCTGGGCACTGGGCTGTGAGAGCTGTAGGGACAGTGAGACCCATCCCATCCCCTGCTCTCCATGTCCTGCCAGGGAAGGAAGCTGTTGCTCTCCACAAGCTGAATCCCACAGTTTTTAGTGCCAAAATCTCATCTGGCCAACTCCAACCACCCAGCACAACCTCTCTCCACCTTTTGGCTCACCCACCTGGCTGTAGGAGTTGCTTTCCATTATCAGGGCTCTTGCACAGCAATTTTCCCCTTTCTATCCTTGAGTTCAGATGTCTCCTGAAAGAGCAATAAAAGCTCAAAATCCAATTTTTGGCTAGGAGCACCTGGCTTCAGCCAGAGCTGGCCGTGGGTTGAGCTGACCCAGGATTTCTGCTGCTGCTGTAGGTGGTGCTGGTGCTGAAGCAGCAGCTCTGGACTGGAGGAAATGTGATGCAGTTGGGAAGATCCTGGCTGCCTGCCCCCAGCAGTGCCTGTCCCTCGAGGACTACTACAGACAGGTGTGCCCCCAGGTAAGTCCCTTGTCCCCTCTGCTGGGGAATGCAGAGCCAGCTCTCAGCTTGGAGAGTGCTGGGGCTCTTCCTTTTGCTCCAGTGTGGCCTGGCTCAAGCCAGCACAACGTGGAGATGGTTTTCTGGCAGTAGGACATTTCCACTCTTGAATTTTCCATGTTTTAGTGAAATGCTGGATGGTGTTGTCTGATCACACGAGGGACTTGTCACTGTGCTACACAGAGCTCTGTGTGTAGCTCTTTGGCTCTGGGAGTGGTGCAGGCTCCTGCTCTGACCCAGAGAGGTGTCCTGCGTGTGTGGGAAGGACCCTGGCTCTTCCACACACGGAATGTCACGCCAGCTGCCAGCAAAGCAGCACATGGGTGGCTCCTTGGCTGCCAAGAGGCGCCAGGCTGTCCCCTCTGATCCCCTGCTGATCCCTGTTTCCCTTTCCTTGCAGATTCTGGACTTGCTGCACGTGCAGGACAAGGTGTCAGCGCGGCAGTTCCAGCGTGTGGCCACCAGCACGGTGCTGAGCATGGCCAGGGAGCAGCCCCAGCTGGCAGAGAGGCTCCTGCTGCAGCCCCTGCTGGCGCCGCTGCGCCGCTGCTCCGAGGCCACAGGTACCTCCTTGGGCTGGGGAAGCCTTTGGTTCTGCTCCTCGCTGGTTTTTGTCACTCCCTCGAGTTTTCTCAGGCCAGGCTGGGCAGTGTGGCAGCCCAGCTCCCTGTGCTGGCCCTGTCAGTTTGTCTGGGTAGCCCATATTTACCCCTGTTTGAGTGCAGTCACTGTAGAGTGGCAGCTGAGCAGTTTGGCTCTGCCCCGTGCTCCTTGGGAGCCTCTCCCAGTCTGACATCCTTGTTCTGGGCTTGCAGACGGAAGCTGCTGGTTCCCCACACTGGCCAGCAGCTCTCTGGGGAATCATCCATCATGGAGTTGTGGTCTGTGTTATTTCCCTGTCTCCTTGGGGGTTTATCACACTGCAGCACAATTAGGATGGCTAATGAGGGCTGCTCTGTTCCCATGGGGAGGGAAGGGAGCTGTGGGAGTGCTTTGGGGTGCAGGGAGTGCAGTTCTGGGCTGTTTTGGGGGCTCATGTGTGTGCCCTTTGCTTTCAGAGCTGGCACTGCAGGATTTGACAGCAGGGGCCGTGCTGGTGCCAGAGGCAGAGCTGGGCTGCTGTGTGGAAGATGTGCTCAAGGTACCATGTCTGCTATGGGTGAGAAAAGGCTGGTTTGAGACCTGGTGAGCAGTTCAGTGTGTGCTGGGCCACACAAACCCAGTCAGTGTCTCCTGCAGCCATGCTCAGTTGTCTGGTCTTCACCTGCAGGAGGACCCCAGCCTCACAGGAAGGATTCCTTCCAGTATCCCGTTCAGCCCATCCTCTTGCAGCTGGAAGTTGTTGCTCCTTGTCCTGTCACTCTGTCCCCTGTCCAAAGTCCCTCTCCAGCCCCCTTGGAGCCCCCTTAGGCCCTGTGAGGAGCTCTGAGCTTTCCTTGGAGCACAGATCTTGGCATTGAGGGATGGTGAGGTCCGTCCTTGTGCTTCCTGAGAAGGGTGAGGGCTTTGTGGAGGTGTCTCCTGTGACAGCTCCCCTCATAACTCATTTCCTGCCATCCCCCCAGTAACCCCAGTGCCACCCTGCAGGCTCCAGCAGCTTCCTGCTGCACGTTCCAGCCCACAAGGACATCTCCACTCCAGGAATTCAAATTTCAGGAGCTGGTGACTTGCTTCCTGGCATGCCCCGAGGCAGGCTAAGCTCTTAAATGCTGGGATTGTTGTGTATTTTCCCAGTAATGATCTGTTGTAACTGGCTGGCAGGCAGAGACCGGTCTGGAGGGCTGCTCCCTCCCAGAGCAGTGCTGGGGGGGTTGGGGTGGGTCCGTCCCTAATGGCAGAGCACTGGGGGCCTGACAGCAGCCAGATTAGTGAGGGGACCCCCGGTTTGGGGGGGGGGGGGGTTCTTGCCTAACAAGTGTCATTTGATGCTTAGTGAGAAACCATCCTTGGGGCTTCATCGGGAGCCTTTGTGTACACAAGGGTCTGGGGAGGAGGAATGGCTCCGTGGGGATTAGCACATGAAAACAGCTCTGTGTGCAGCAGTGCAGCAGGGCAGGGCCCTTGGGCACCATTTCTCAGCCTCTGGGGAGGGTGCTGGGTGAGGTGCAGGGCTCTGCAGTCACCCCTGAGCCCCTCTAGCCCCCCCAAGAGCCTCTACAGCCCCTCCAGAGCCTCCACAGCATCCCCAAAGCCCCTGTAATGCTCCCCTGAGCACCAACAACATTCCCAGAGCCTGAGCAGCCCAGTGCCTCAGCCCAGCACCCACCAGCCCAGCTGCCCTGCTGGTGACTGATCTCTGTGTTTGAGATTTGCAGGCAGTGAAGATTTGCTCATGCCAGGGGACCTGTTGCATCCCTGGGTAAGGCAGGACTTTACTCCTGAGCAGCAGACTTCACAAAAACTGCCTGCAGCCTTCCTGTAGCTTGGAGCCCTGCTGTGGTTAAACAAATTCCTAGAGAAAGGTGGTGCTGAAGGCAGGTTTTAATAGGGAATGTGGCATAATCAGGGAAGGCAGCCTCCAGACTGAGGGAAAGAGGCTGAGAGCCCTCCACCATGCTCCCTGGCAGCTGCCCTGTGCTCAGACGTGTTCCTGGGCTCCCCTCTGCCCTGCAGGTGTTTGATTCCCCTCCCTGTGCCCCTCTCTCCCTCTGTAGGTGTTTGTGGTTGGCAATGACAGCTCGAGCCTGCTGCTGGGATCCCTGCAGCCAGTCCTGGGAGTGGTGTTTTCCCTCTATTCCTTCGCCAGGCAGAATGTGTCATACTTACGGTAAGGGAGCCTTTGTGCTCTGCCCCTGCTGGGGTTTCATCTGCTGGGCTCTCCCTCTTCCAGCAGCCAGAGGGCACAGGCAGGAGCACAGATCCTCCTCCTCCCCCCAGAGCACTCTGTTCCAAGCAGGCAGCAACCCCAGGCCAGCACACAGCCTCACTGGCAGCCCGTTCTCACGTTAGTTTTTGTTTTCCCTGGAGCCAGGGTGTTCTGTGTAGAGCTGAGCGTGCCCTCAGAGCACAGGGTGGCTCTGCCTGGAGCAGGGATTGTGGTTGTCCATGGATGGAGGGAGTGATGCTGGAAACTGGATGGAGAGATATACAAATAGCATAAAAACTGGGAAAACAGTTTAAGCACTGCCTCTTGGAAGTACGGGATCATTCTCCAATCTGGAATCACTGTTCTGGTACAATCCTGGCAGCTGATGCCCACAGCATGCCCAGCTCCCCGTGACTGGTGGGAGGCACCACACATGCCAGCTGTGGCAGGGACAGGGGTGCCCAGTGCTGCCTGTCCTCTCTCCTTGGTACCATGAAGCACCACGTGTGCCAGCCGTGGCAGGGACAGGGGTGCCCAGTGCTGCCTGTCCTCTCTCTGTGGTCCCCCAGGCTGTCCCTGCAGTCAGGACCAGCCTGGTGAAAGCATTCCTGGTGGGATTACACAGTGCTCTGGTGATGCTGGCGTGTGCAGGCTTTCCCTAAAAGGTGTGTGCACACACAGCCTGTGCTGTTTAATATTAAAGGCCTCGTTAATCACCCCAAAGAGCAACGAGTGCCGTGACAGGCTGTGGGACACGCCAGGCTCAAGCTGCCTGTGCTGCTGGGCCAGCAGTCACTGCTTCCTCTGCTCAGGAATTTGGCAGGGATGGCTGAACCCACAGCTGCCTGGAAGTGCTCAGGTTTCCAGACCCCTGGCACGGCCCAGTGTGGCTGCTCCACCTCATTAACCTGCTTCTTCCCTTGGCAGGGCTCCCCGTGCCACCTCAGTGCTCCCATCTCCTTCCTCCTCTCCCTTGGCACTGCCACCAGCTCTTGTCACCTCGGCCTGAGGCGCAGGCAGGGCGTGCCAAGGGTGTTCACAGCGCTTCCTTGCCAGCCTGAAGTGTGGAGGAACCCAAATCCTTCCATCTGGGAGCGCCAGAAGGGCAGGGTGTGCTGCTGATTCCCTTAGAACAGGCACAAATGCTTCAGCTGCCAGAGCCAGGAGCTGGAGCATCGCAGGGAGAGCTGCTCCAGGGCACTCCAGCCACGTCCCTCATCTCAAAGCCGCGCAGGGAAGGTGCAGTGGGCAGAGCAGTGTCACCACTGGCTCCTTTCCCCTTGGCAGCTCCCCGTGCCAGGACATCCTGCTGTGGTTCCTGGAGAAGGCAGAGCGGGAGCAGGCCCTGGCTGTGCTGGGGGGCCTGGCTGGGCTGAGCAGCCACGTGCCCACCCTGCACCCACGGTGCCAGCTCCAGGTGGGCAGCGAGGGCGGTGCTGCCGTCGTCCTGCAGGAAACCATCAGGTGAGTGCTGTGGGGCAGTCCCCGAGGCACTGGGCACCCAGGGCTTCCCTGGCAGAGAGCCTGGGCAAAGCAGAGCCATCCCACAGGGTCTCATCCCTTCAGGCTCAGTGACACTTCCACACAGCCCCAACCATCAGGGGAGTGCTGTGGGGCAGTCCCTGAGTCACTGGGCACCCAGGGCTTTCCAGGGAAGCCTGGCAGAGAGCCCAGGCAAAGCAGGGGCTGACAGATCCATCCCACAGGGTCTCATCCCTTCAGGCTCAGGCAGGTGACACTTCCACTGAGCCAGCACAGCCCCCAGGTTCCCTGGACATGGTGCGGAGCTCTGTCTTGCAGCCACACAAAGCATCACGCTCCACCTGAGCGTTGCTGTGCACTCCTGCCTGCCTGCTGTGCAGTGTCTGGGAAGGGGATGTGCCTTTCCAATCTCAACACCCCCCAGATTCCAGCCCCCAGCCCCGGCCTGTGTGGTGACACCGTGAACAGAGTCCCTCGGGCACAGGTGGCACGGTCACAACACAGACGGTGGCAGTGCCAGCGTCACAGAGCTCCTCTGGTGTGGGCAGATGGCCTCTGAGGGGAGGCAGAGCTGCCCATGCTGGGAGTTAACTGCAGCCTTTAGTCTCCAGCCACGCAGGCTGGGATGGCCAGCAGCAGGAGGCTGGCTTTGAACAGAGGGGCTGTGAGCTGCCAGGGCAGCACTGGGGGCAGGCAGGGGCACAGCTGTGCCAGGGGTGTGCTGGGAGCTGGTGGCACCTGCAGCAAAATCCCCACAAATACGTTTGGTTTGGCTTCTTTTCAAGCTTTTGCTGACTTGAGTTAGATTTACAGACTGGTTTGGGTTGGAAAAGACCTTAAAGCTCATCTTGTTCTGCCCCATGCCATGGGCAGGGACACCTTCCACTATCCCAGGGTGCTCCAAGCCCTGTCCAGCCTGGTCTGAGGCCCTTCCAAGGATGGGGCAGCCACAGCTGCTCTGGGCAGCCCCTGCCAGGGTTTCCCCACCCTCACAGGGAAGGATTCCTTCCCATTATCCCATCTAACCCACCTTTGGTCGGTGGGAAGCCATTCCCCCTTGTCCTGTCACTCCATGCCCTTGCTCAAAGTCCCTCTCCAGCCTTTTTATAAACTTTAGCTACTCCAGGGCCAGAATTAGAAGCAGCTCTGCCTTGCTTAAACTGAGACTACTTTAAACGTGTTCCATACTGGCTCTGCCCATGCCCCTGCTGCCACAGCTCTGCCTAACTTACCCAGCACTAATCATGGTGTTTATAGGCTGGATGAAATGTATGTTTTGGGCTCATGGTTTGTGTTAATGAGTGCAGGTTAGTTAATAAGCAGAGCCCAAATGACCTGGGCAGTGTTTGGCTCAGCTGCCTCCAGGCTGTGCTGGGAAGTGCTGGGAAGGAAGGCTTCCAGGGAAAAGCAGCCTGGGATTTCACCATGCCCTGCAGGCTGGGTGCCAGGGGTTCTGGGGGTGTTTGTGCTGGTGGCACACTGACCTGTTTCAGCGATGAAGATGAGGCCCTGTACCAGAAGATCTCCTTGGAGCAGTGCCATGTGGAGAGCTTGGTGGAGCTCCTGTCCCACTGCCAGAAGAGTGGTCTGGCTGGAGACTTCTTCATCCACTGCCTGAAGGTGAGGGCAGCCAGCCCCTGGTTGGGGCATGCCTGTGGGAAGGGGTTCCCTGGACAAGCAGAAGGCAAAAGGGGGATCATCCCCTGTGTGTGCTGGGGCGTGGTGTGTGCTGGAGCAGCCCTGTGTGCTGGGTGGGAGCCAAGGAGTGGGAGCAGCCCTATCCCTGAAGGGGTTAACCCTCATCCTCCCCCTGGGCTGTTTTAACTACAGGAGCATGTCTGAAGTGTGTTGGAGGCTGGGAATAATCCCTGTTGCTTCCTTGGCTCCAGAAGAGGGGCCCCATCCATACCTGCTTCCTTTGATCTCACTTGGAGCCCCCACGCTTCCCCCCAGGCTTGGGTTGGACTGGGATTCTGTTCCCCAGCCCATAGTCCCAGGAGGGGATAGGGATGGGACACCCAGGAGCTGTGGGCAGCTCTCAGAACCCTTCATCCAGCAGCTGCAGGGTGGTGCTGGTGTGAGGAGTCACCTGGCATTGCTGGCCCAGTGTTTAACCCAATGTTTAACCCATGCCTGCCCTCCCTTCCCGGCAGGAGCTGACTCAGGTGGCTGCGGAGGATGAGGAGGCTCCAAACCCAGCGGTGGAGCCTGGAGGGAGTTTGCTGGAGCTGGAGCAGCACCAGGCCAGGCAGGGGAGGAAGCTACTGGTCCTGCAGCTGGTGGCCGCGCTGTGCCAGGGCGTCTCGGACACCGTGTTCACTGACATCGAGCAGGTTGGTGGGCAAAGCCTGGGGGCATCAAATGAGCACTGCCAGGGGCAAAGGCTAAAGGAGCTGGGATTGCTCAGCCTGGGGAAGAGAAGGGCCCAGAGTGACTTTTAGAGCAACTTTGAGTCCTTAAAGGAGCTCCCAGAGAGCTGGACAGGGACTTTGTACAAGGGGGTGACAGGACCAAGGGGAATGGCTTCCCCCTGACAGAGGGCAGGGTTAGAAGGGGTACACTGAAGAAATTCCTCCCTGTGAGGGTGGTGAGGCCCTGGCACAGGTTGCCCAGAGAAGCTGTGGCTGTGCCATCCCTGGAGGTACCCAAGGCCAGGTTGGATGGGAGCAACCTGATTAGCACAACTATGCTCCTACATTCATGAGTGGGCAGTGCCAAATTTATTAAATATTGTCATTTCGAAGGCCACTGGTGCCCCTTGGTCCCAAAAAGGATATTTACAGTCTTTCCCCTGAGCCTGCCCTGGATGGGGTCAGTCTGGAAGGCAGCTGGCACCGAGGGCAGCCTGGCACTCCCCTCTGGATCCCTGCAGATCCCTGCAGATCCTGTGGCTTTCAGCTTCCTCCTGCTGGGGTTTATTGCTGTTTCCCCAGTGCCCTGGCCATGCCAGCTCCCCGTGCTGCCGTGGGCAGGGCTGTTCATGGCTCAGGCAGGTTTCCTCACGTTTCCTGCGGGACAAAGGAGCCTTTGTGTGCTCGGCAGCAGCAGAGGGGACACGGCCAGCCCAGCTTTGTCCCCACCTGCCTCCATCACACCCACCCGCCGGGCCCAGAGGCGCTGGGAAATGGGGAAGGGCTTTGCCAGGGTCCAGCCAGGAGTCTGGGATGCAAACCCACCACCAAAGAAATGCAGACAAGAAATCCATTATCTCCTGCCTGGGTTGTGTTTCAGCGAGGCCCTGGGCCGGGACAGGGACAGGCTTTGAGCAGGTTCTGCACTCAGGGGTTCCCTGGGGTGTTTGGGGGCCCTAATGGGCTGGGAGCAAGTGGGGTTCATCCTCCCAAAGCTGGAGCCCAGGAGCAGCAGCTGCTGTGCCCCCCCAGCTGCACATTTATTTTATTTATGTATTCTCCTCCATAACCAAGGTCAGCTTGATTTCCTCACTGCACCAAGGATTCTCTCCTCCTGCCTGAGACACAGCTGTGCCCCAGTGTTTTATTTTTCTTTTTTCCCTCCCACTTTAAAAAAGTTTTTTTTCTAGATTATTTTTTTAAGTTTTAAGTTTTTGCAGTTGCAACCTACTGTTATTTATTCACAATTTTCCTTTTTTTAAAATATTAAATATAACTGCAACCCCTCCAGCTCATGTGTCACTGTGTTGTGAGAGCAAATATTGCAATTTTTTTTTTTTTAATTTACTTGCTGTTTGATGGAATTTCTTCTCTGGAATAATTATCCCAGCGGGTACCTGAGCCTTTTATGCAGCCTTTTCCCACAGCCTCCCTCCTTGCTTAAGGAATCTGGCAGCTGAGGAGGAAATCCTGCCTGCACCCAGTGCCCTGGGGGTGGAAGTTTGGAATTTGGTGCAAGAGGACCTTGTTGCCCTCATGCTTTGTTTTCTGAAAGAGGAACACAATAGTTCCTCCTCTGTTGCAACACACCTGTTAGGTAGGAGTGACCCTGATCCAAACCCTTCCCAGGCTTGTCTGGGAGAAGATAAGGCGTGGAGAACATCAACTCCCTCATTTCAGGATCTGTTAGGAAGGCAGGATGCCTGTGGGATCAGAGGTGTTGGTGCCAAGTGTGGAGAAGGCCAATGCCAACCAGGCAGGATCGTTACATGTGGAATAAAAATATTGTGGGAAAGATCCCAAAGTAAGTGAGAACACAGGAAATGGCTCAGCTGGGGTGTCAGCTGTGCAGGATAAGGGGGAGGCTGGTGTGGAGGATTGCAGACAGGGGCTGGAGCTCCTTGGCTCTGGGATTTCCAAGCCTTTACCTAGGGCAATTCCATACACACCCACCCTGAGCTCCCCTTTGGGACTATCCCAGCTTCCATCCCATGGTGGAGCCAGGCAGGAGGCAGGGATGGAGCTGGGATCCCTCTGTTCCTCCAGCCCCCGGGGGCTTCTGCAGCTGAGAGACCCCCCCAGATTGACCATCACCTTGTCCCAGTTGTGGACGTGACTTGGCTGAGCAGCAACAGGAGGAAAATGGGAAGTGTTTCACAGAATTACAGAATGATAGAATATTCTGAATTAGAAGGGACCCACCAGGATCATTGAGTCCAACTCCTGGCCCTGAACAGACACCCCAGTAATGCAAC